AAGGCCTTGGGGTCCCCCCAGGAGAGCTGGAGGAGGTGTCTGGGGTGAAGGAAGTCTGGGAGTCCCTGCTTAGACTGCAGCCCCCATGACCCAGCACCAGATAAGCTGAAGAAAATGGATGGATAGATAAACGTGGCTTTACCTCTGAGCTCATATTTGCGATTTCAGATTTTGAACATGTTCTGTAATGATTTTGACAAGAGATTGTTGTTTACTTTGAACATGATTTTCAAAGTGTTATGGTCGACTAAATCGTAAAATTTCAGATATTGAAGGTTTATAAATAATGCATTGGTTGGTTCATTATAATTTGATAATGTTGTTGCTCTTATTGCCTTTTTTGGAAGTTAAAAATTGGATTTGTAATAGTCTTGATTAGAGATGTAATGATATCCAAATCTCTTGATATTATCATGATAAGCATCTCACGGTACAATGTTTATTGCAATATTTAGGAGTGGCTGATATAATTGTAGGTAAGATACTTTTTTGCTTTTAAAATACTTTGACAAGATTTTGGTGTGAATTATTACTGTAAAAATCCCAAGAATTCAAGTAAAAACATAAAGCGGTCATTTCTTGCTTTTTGTTTTTACGTTTGTCACCATTTTCTGTTCTGAAAATGTCACTTTGATTCCTTCTACCGTTTCTCGTCAACGGTGATGGACTTCTCCCGGTTTAGTTCACGTGCCGAGCTCTGTTCAGGTGTTAAAGGTCCTCACTTTCTTCTACTCGCAGCAGACGTCAAAAATCCATACGAGTCAGATCCTATTATTGACTGAGAGGAAGTGACGGGAGCCGGGGTAGAGGTAGCCAACACTCCGAAGAGAAGTCTGCTATCTGCGAATATCAAACCATCTGTCAGCCACGCAAGAGCACACGGATAACGCTAACTTTAGCAACCAGAACGCAAGAGCACAGAGCTACCGATAACTTTAGCAACGGTGACGGCGGACATGTTACTATGACTCCAGAGAGCAGACAGTGAGAGATAATATGGAATAGGGAATGTTATGGAGAATTATGAATACAAAGTCAGTGGGATGATTTTGCAGAATGGCTTAATAGACAAATAAATAAGTTCAACGTGTGTGTGTTTTCTGGATCAAATCAACAAATAAATGACTATATAAAAGAAGGTTAATATTATACTATTTTCTGATCTATGTTAGAATGTACAATGGATATTTACAACATTGTAGGGCTGCACGATTATGGAAAAAATCATTATCACGATTATTTTGGTCAATACTGAAATCACAGTTATTCAAACAATTATTTTTTAGTTACAAAAAGCATCTCTCTCTCTCAAAAAAAAAAAAAACCCAAACACTTTGTTATTGATAATTTAAGCAAAACTTTCAAATTGAAAATAAATATAGGCAATAAATATGTAACTTGGAGTAGTTTTGCGATGTATGAAACATAAAATGAATGAAATAAACTTTGAATATAAAACAAGGCTTAGAAAAAAATAAATGTATCCAAAATAAACTATATATCCAGCTGCTCTACAATCTCTAGATTTAAAAAAATAAGATAAATATATTTATTTATGTGAAAAATATCCCAAAATAAACTTCATCGTTTCAACTCGATTATATGAGTTTGGAGATCTTTTGACGCACAAATCGAAATCGCAATCAAAATTCAATCAATTGCACACTTATGCAATTGTGTGTTTTTTTTGTTGTTTGTTTTTTTCACATTTCATGCTCCACTGTGTTTTTAAACTCCATACACCTTCACTAGAATCATTTCGATGATTTCAGACCTAGAATTGCCAATCATTACTGAACTAAAGGTAAAAGGTAGCTGTTAACTTCAAAACACATGCGCTACATGCACTGCAAATCAGATCAGAGAAATTTGGAGATCAGATGTATTATCTATGATCAGATTTATTATCTATTTACTAGTCCTGAGAGTTAGTTTATTTTAAGATAACTTGTCAAGTAAAATGATCTTGCTGCATGGACAGATCATTTCACTACTTTTAAGTCATTTTCTGAGAGATTTAAGTGTTTATGTGTTACATTTTGGCCAAGCTTTTTTGGAGTGTGACGTCACAAGGTGGAACAGAGCGTTTTGAGCTTTGGAGATGTAATAAAAAGATTAATAAAAAGGGATTACTCTGTTTGCGATGAGAAAACGACATTGTAACATGGCTTAAAGATCACAATAATCATTTTTGCGTAATATGTGACATTTTAGGACCTATCCAGTTTTTCTCTTTGTGATGTGTGAGCTACTGTGTCCAAATAATTTCCCTTGTGGATCAATAAAGTTTGTCTAAGTCTAAGTCTAAGAACATGTACAGATGAACAGTGTTGGGAAGGTGACTTTTAAAATGTATCCCCCTACAGATTACAGATTACATACCTCAAAATGTAGTTTGTAACGTAATCCATTAAATGACTTAAAGTGGGTAATGTAATCTGAATACTTTGGATTAGTTGATTTGCTGTAGAGAAGCAAAGACCAGGAAATCTTCACATAAGATGTTTTGTCTGATAAAAGAAAATGAAAAGCTCAGACTTTACTTAACCAAATTAAAAATATTATTGATAGAAGAGGAGGACAGCGCAGCATGGTTTAGTCCTGTTAAATCCTGTTGTAGTCCTGGTTTAGTCCTGGTTTAGTCCTGTTAAATTCTGTTGTAGTCCTGGTTTAGTCCTGTTAAATCCTGTTGTTGTCCTGGTTTAGTCCTGGTTTAGACCTGGTTTAGACCTGGTTTAGACCTGGTTTAGACCTGGTTTAGATCAGTTTTAGACCTGGTTTAGACCTGGTTTAGACCTGGTTTTAGTCCTGGTTTAGTCCTGGTTTAGATCTGTTTTAGACCTGGTTTAGACCTGGTTTAGTCCTGGTTTAGTCCTGGTTTAGTCCTGGTTTAGATCTGTTTTAGACCTGGTTTAGACCTGGTTTAGACCTGGTTTTAGTCCTGGTTTAGATCTAGTTTAGACTTGGTTTTGTTTCCGGCAATGAGTGGAATTACCAAAAAAAACAAAAAAAAGGGGGATTTAGCCCAAAATGTGAAAACAGGAAAATACTGCCATGTAATCCATTTATTTCAACAAAGTAACTGTAATCCAATTACCACTCACTGAAACAGTAACTGTAACTGAATACAGTTACTCATAATTTGTAGTCTGATTACGTAACTCCGGTACATGTAATCTGTTACTCCCCAACACTGCAGATGAACCACTGAGGTAGTTACAAGCAGATGTTTCCTAATCGTCTATCTGGAGTGGATATCGTCTCTTCTGCTTGTTGCTTCCTCAGATTTCTCATTCAGCAGTAGTGTCTTTTAAAATACATAGGCAGTATCATTCACTCTCATTTTATTCTACAAATAGCTTCTAATTTTAGAGGCTGCAAGACACTGAGATGATTATAAGAAAGAGGGCAAGCCTTGGGGTACAGTTAGATGCCTATAAAACATAAACCATTGTCCAAAGTTGGGCTTCGAAATGATATAATTACAATAGTAACAGACATGTAATTAACTAAATGTTGGTTATTCAGCACAATGGTATAATTCCCAAATCCCTTGCCGAGCTACTTGGAAGTCTGACCTAAAGGTTCTATATTATGCAAAATGGACTCTTGTGAGCTTTAAGTCATGGTAGAATGCTTTTACCTCACCAAAAACACACCTCCAGTTGTGTTTTGTTTCATTCACACATGTTTGAGTCATCTTTTAATATCAGTCTGTCTATATCTCCAAAGCTCCTAATGCTCTGTTCCACCTTGTGACCAGTGTTGGGGAGTAACAGATTACATGTACTAGAGTTATGTAATCAGAGTACAAATTATGAGTAACTGTATTCAGTTACAGTTACTGTTTCAGTGAGTGGTAATTGGATTACAGTTACTTTGTTGAAATAAATGGATTACAGGGCGGTATTTTCCTGTTTTCACATTTAGGGGCTAAACTAGGACTAAACCAGGAAACCAGGACTAAAACCAGGTAAACCAGGACTAAACCAGGACTAAACCAGGACTAAAACCAGGACTAAAACCAGGACTAAACCAGGACTAAACCAGGACTAAAACCAGGACTAAACCAGGACTAAACCAGGACTAAACCAGGACTAAACCAGGACTAAACCAGGACTAAAACCAGGACTAAAACCAGGACTAAAACCAGGACTAAAACCAGGACTAAATCCGGACTAAACTAAAACTAGAACTAAAACTAGGACTAAACCCGAACTAAAAGCAGGACTAAACCAGGATGAAACCAGGACAAAACCAGTCCTAAACCAGGACTAAACCAGGACTAAACTTGGACTAAACTAGGACTAAGCCAGGACAAAAACCAGGACTAAACCCAGACTAAACTAGAACTAAAACTAGGACTAAACCCGGACTAAACTAGGACTAAAACCAGGACTAAACCCGGACTAAACTAGGACTAAAACCAGGACTAAACCCGGACTAAAACCAGGACTAAACTAGGACTAAACTAATAACAATATAACAGTAGTGTGGACATAATTGAAGGCTGCAGTGTCTCATATAAAAATAATTTCTCTATCAATAATATTTTTGACTGAACTAACAAGAATTTTCAGGATGTGGTCACTACATTCATGTAGTTTTAAAAACATGACAATATCAAGTAATCCAAAGTATTCAGATTACGTTACTCACTTTAAGTAATTTAAAGGATTATGTTACAAACTACATTTTGGGGTATGTAATCTGTAATCTGTAGGGGAATACATTTTAAGAGTAACCTTCCCAACACTGCTTGTGATGTTATGAAGTGAGTAGTTTTCAAGTTAACAGCTACTTTTTACCTTTAATTTAGAGATTAGTTGAGGCAAATCCAGAGCTGAAATGATCCAAATCAGGGGCTGTGAAAGAGCGAGTGAAAATATTGTCCCTAAGAGCGCCGCCGCAACATAACCCCCCGTCTGCGGAATATTGTCGGTGTTATGTCCCCTATTCAACACAACTGCTACAAAACAATCATTGAGACTGAGTCAAAGTTTAGTTCGGCAAGTTTATTTTGTGTGGCCAAACGTTCACCAAGGTGTACGAAAAAAACAAAACAAAGGTTGGTAGGAGCAGGTGCGTGCCAGTCGTGCCAAAGCAAGGAGAAAATTCAATTTGTCGACTGGACAAAAGTTAGTTTGGTTGAAGACGTTTCGCAGCTCGTCCAAGCTGCTTCTTCAGTTCTGGTCAAACGCTGGTGGACACTTCCTTATATCTGCAGGGAGGAGCGAACTAACTGTAACTAACACCCACTTGTTTACAGTTTCAGTGAGTTAGTTCGGCCTATTGACCTTTGCAGGGTGTGGAGACTAATTAACATAACAATAAAGAGGCTTCCACACCTCTGGACCTGACCTGGATACACCTGTTGTTCTCTTGGTTGTTTTGAATAAGGTTTGAGGATGGAGTTGTAAATATTGAGATAGATGGTGTCTGAGGCCTCCATTTCTGTTTAGAGAAGGATTCTTTCACTCCCCTCTCGAACCAGTTCTTTTTTCTGGCTAAAATCTGTACCTCACTGTCCTCAAATGAGTGGCCCGTGGCTTTTAAGTGGAGATGTACGGCAGACTGAGGTCCACTGCTGCTCTCTCGTCTGTGTTGGTACATCCTCTTGTGAAGCAGTTTAGTTTCTCCAATGTAGCGTTCACTTCACTCTTCACTGCACTGAACGGAGTAGACCACATTGCTTTGTTTGTGGCTCGGTGTTTTGTCCTTGGGGTGCCAAAGAAAAGAACAAAAAGTAAAACAAATCAGGGCCTAAATGAAACCTAGGTTACAGAAGTAAAGAAATCAAAAAGTCTAGTCTGTCTGATCTAAAAAAAAAAAAAACTAGGATACAGCTGATAAAACTAGTGTGTCACGTAATAATTGTTTTCAAGTTAACAGCTTCTTTTACCTTTTGTCCAGTTGAGAAGGCAATTCCAGGTCTGAAATGTTCCAAGCGATTCTAGTGAAGCTGTACGGAGTTTAAAAACAGCAGTCAGAAAACAGCATAATATGGGTCTTTTAACGAGAATAAAAAAGTCAGGTACAGGCCTTTTTCTTCACTCCTCAGACGTGAACAGTGGAGTTTGAGGCCTGCGGAATTAATGAGCAAATAGTCAGTTCGTGAGCGTTGCCACCTCGCGCCCGGGGACAGGATATTTCAGTCGGTTGTTAATTACTGTCATATGGCTGCGGCACCTTTCTCCTGAAAAGACTCTGAAAATGAAGTGCTCGGAGTGCGATGGCGTCATGTACCTGACACCAAGCCCGCCGCCGGCCCCGCACCTCGTCCGCCAACACCGCCAGATTCACCAGAGCTAGAGGTACGGCCATTTAGGTTTCAATCATGTCAAGGTAGAACGTGCAAATAATGTTAAGGTGGTGGATTAGTTAGTGATGGAGGAATATCTTTTATGTATATTTTAACTGAACTAGTAGACAAGTGCTTTCAAGGGAAATATGATAAATGCAAATGTTCTGGATTCAAGTTGCTGGTTTCTCACACTTACTTAAAACATTTTAAATATTCTGGTAAAGGACTCTTGAAAAAAGACCTTTGAACCTAACTAGAATTAGAGTAGATCAGTCGGCAGAGGCCAAAACTGTAGCGCGTCAGTTATTTGTCTGCGCTCCAAAGGGTTCAGAAACAGATCCAGTTTGAACTTCAAGTCATTTTAGTCAGACTTTTCAAGAAAAATTGGCTGGAATTGTAAGTGGAGATTCAAATGAAACTGAAAAGCCCACCAAAGTTCTTGTAGAGGTGCATATGCAAGGAGCAGTAAAATAAAAGTAGAAAAAATGCATAGCACACTCAGATGGCCGATGTCCAAGGTTTTTGTGTGTGTGTGTGTTTTTTTTTTAAATAACATTTCAGCAAAAAAAAAAAACCTTTGTCAGATTATTTTTCTTGCTTTGAACCACAGTATGATGCAAGAAAAATGATCCGACAAAGGCTTTTTGACCGAAACGTTATTTAAAAAAAATAACATTTTTGGACATGGGCCATCTGAGTGTGCTATGCATTTTTTCTACTTTTAAGTGACTGGAGATTACCTGCTATGCATTACCATCAGATTCACAAGTATTTCTTACACAATATAAAAAAAAAACTTGGAAAACATTCATTCTTTATATTAGTGGAGTTGCCTCTGCACAGATCTGCCACTGGCTTTAATCTATGGCAGACATGTCAAACTCAGGCCCATGGGCCAATTTTGGTCCACGATATAATTATATTTGGTATGCGAGATCATATCAAATCTGTATTCGAGCTGCCCACCGGTTACATATAGGCTATAGAGACAATATTTATTTAACATTTTGTTATTATTTTATATTATGTTTGTTCTGGATTCAGTGTTTAAGCAAAAACTATTATTAAACATTTATTTTCATAAGAAAAGGTTTAAGAGTACATATCTCAAAAGAAGAGAAAACATGCAGATGTTGTTGAAATTTTTCAATAAATATTTAGTTTGGCCCACAACTTAGTCTCAGTTTTTAAATTTTGGCCTCTGTGAATTTGAGTTTGACTCCCCTGATCTATGGTGATTAAGGGTGTGCAAAATCGTTTAATGTGATAAAACAATATTGTTATTGTGGACTGCTGTATCGATATATCGCCAAGAGTATTTTTTGATACATTTTACTAAATTATTTTGTTACAATGTTAGTTTTGTTGTTTGTTCAGTGGAAGAAAACTTGTTTATGTGACACATTTGACATTTTCACAGTTTTGATGATTTAAATGTTTGTGTTTCATTTGAACTTTACACAAGAAGTGGTTTAACAAAGACTTTTAGAATCATAAACACGTTTTAGCCATTATTTTTTTATTGAATCGTGTCAAATCGTAAGCTCACTGTATCAAGATATATATTGTATCGTGGCCTATGTTTTGAGGTATATATCGTATCGAGGTCTATGTATCGAGGTATGTATCTTATCGGCAACTTCTGAATGATACCCAGACCTAATGGCAATAGATCAAATTAATGCCATATTGTGGAATATTATGGATGTTAATAAACAGCAGCTGGAAAACTCTCACCAAAATACTCTTACATAGTGCAACTTTGAGCTTCACAACAGCAGTTCTGCGTTCAAGTCACCTATGCATCCAGTCTGTCTTAAAGCACCGTATAAATAACACTTTATCATTAGCATTAGAGCTGCTAGTTTCTCTCACCACAAACACAGCTCTTCCTGTATGTTACACTTGCCTCATCCTTTTACATTTGCACATTTTACCGTGCGCCCACAAACCGCCTCGTCTCGTCTCCGCTACCTCGTCACATCCACGTGTCTATTAGCCAGGTGTTAAAGACTCCCCGAGGTTACTTTCATCCGGAAGCTACAACCTGTTAGCTGTAGCGCTACCTCTCTCCTCCATCTGGCAGCGGGCCACAAAAATAGCTAACAATTAGTCGTCGGAGTGCCCAGGGAGCGCTCGCTAGCCTCCGCCGCTACGCTAACAGGATGCTATCAATAGCCCGCACCTGTTTCCTGCACCTGTAAAAGGGGCTTGCATAAGAGCCGTTACGAGGGCCGACCGGGGCTCACGCAATCACCGGAAGAAGAGAGGGGTACTCCAGCGCGCAGCCAGACCTGTCCCAATCAGACCAGGATGTGGTTTGAGAGCGCCCAAAAAGGTGTCCGTGTTTTACAGTGCTGTGAAGCAGGGATGAAAATGTCAGAAAATAAATCAATGTACAAATATTGTTCACACATTTCTCCAGCGTGACAGTGTGAAAGAGTGTATTAAAGGATGCAGACTGGAAAGGCCCGAACCAGTATTTAGATAAAGCAATGTTTTAGAACTATTTAAAAACACCTAACCTACCTTGTGACCAGTGTTGGGGAGTAACAGATTACATGTACCGGAGTTATGTAATCAGAGTACAAATTATGAGTAACTGTATTCAGTTACAGTTACTGTTTCAGTGAGTGGTAATTGGGTTACAGTTACTTTGTTGAAATAAATGGATTACACAGAGGGATTTTCCTGTTTTCACATTTTGGGCTATATCCCTTTTTTTTTTTTTTTTCTGTAATTCCACTCATTGCCGGACACTAAACCAGGTCTAAACCAGGACTAAACCAGGACTAAAACCAGGACTAAACCAGGACTAAACCAGGTCTAAACCAGGACTAAACCAGGTCTAAACCAGGTTTAAACCAGGTTTAAAACCAGGTCTAAACCAGGTTTAAACCAGGTTTAAAACCAAGTCCAAACCAGGTTTAAACCAGGTCTAAACCAGGTCTAAACCAGGACTAAACCTGGACTAAACCAGGTCTAAACCAGGTCTAAACCAGGTTTAAACCAGGTTTAAAACCAGGTCTAAACCAGGTCTAAACCAGGACTAAACCAGGTCTAAAACCGGGTCTAAACCAGGTCTAAAACCAAGTCCAAACCAGGTTTAAACCAGGTCTAAACCAGGACTAAACCAGGTCTAAACCAGGACTAAACCAGGTCTAAAACCAGGTCTAAACCAGGACTAAACCAGGACTAAACCAGGTCTAAACCAGGACTAAACCAGGTCTAAACCAGGACTAAACCAGGTCTAAAACCAGGTCTAAACCAGGACTAAACCAGGTCTAAAACCAGGTCTAAACCAGGTCTAAAACCAGGACTAAACCAGGACTAAACCAGGTCTAAACCAGGTCTAAACCAGGACTAAACCAGGTCTAAACCAGGTCTAAACCAGGTCTAATCCAGGTCTAAACCAGGACTAAACCAGGACTAAAACCAGGTCCAAACCAGGTCTAATCCAGGTCTAAAACCAGGTCTAAACCAAGTACAAACCAGGTTTAAACCAGGATTAAAACAGGACTAAATCATGCTGCGTGGACGTGTCTCCTCCTCTACTATCAATAATATTTTTAATATGGTTAAGTAAAGTCTGGGCTTTTTATTTTCTTTTAGCAGACAACGCAAACCAAGTAATCCAAAGTATTCAGATTACGTTACTCAATTTAAGTAATTTAATGGATCACGTTACAAACTACATTTTGAGGTATGTAATCTGTAATCTGTAAGGGAATACATTTTAAAAGTCACCTTCCCAACACTGCTTGTGGATGAATATGTGGGTGAAATGTGGGTGAAAGACTGACATGTGACTTTTTTTTTTACGTGTTTTTTTTTTTTTTTTTTTAGTTTTGTTTTGTTTTTCATACCAACAACAACTTAATTCTAGTGGTTCATGTATTTGTTTGTCAGTCCAGATTTCATTCTTCTCTCCTGGAGTTGTTTACAATGTGCACTCTGAACACAATCTTACTTTTATATATTACAAATTTTACAAAATATTACAAAAAAAAAAACAAAACTGTGGCCTTACCACCTTGTGAAAGCCTGATCTCATCAAATCTCAGAATCTAAGCAAGGCCGGGTTTGGTTAGTACTTGGATGGGAGACGTCTGGGAATTCCAGGTGCCACAATGGTCCACCGGTGGCAAAAACTGTTGTTGTGTCCTTAGGCAAGACACTTTACCTACATTGCCTAGTAAGAAAATGGAGTGTGCGTGAGTGTTGTTGGTGGTCGGAGGCAGAAGTGATGACTTGAGAAACGTGACTTAGACTTGAGTAACTATTTTTAGGACTTGAGACTTGACTTGATTAAATGGATTAAGACTTGGGACTGGACTTAGACTTGAAGGTCAGTGACTTGGGACTTGACTCAAACTTGAAAAGACTTAATGCTTCTCCTAAAAAAAACATACTGTTATTTAGCACTTTTAAATCTTTATTATTTCTATTCTGACTATAATAATGTACACTTTTGTTTAAACATCATATAAAGTGCAAAATTCTAAGCAATATTTTGGTACTTTGGTTTAAAGACTTGAAATGACTTGAAGCTCAACGCAGATGACCTGGACTTGACTTGGACTCATGGGCCAGTGACTCAAGACTCGACTTCGACTTGCCTGTCTTTGACTTGGGACTTAATTGAGACTCGCAAAACAACGACTCAGTGCCACCTCTGGTCTGATGGCACAGATTGGCAGCCTCCCTTCTGTCAGTCTCAGAGTAGTAACTTACCACTACTGAGTGTGGAGTGAACTGTAAAGCACTTTGGGTGAGTTGAAAGACGTTATATAAATGCAGTGATTAATTCATTAACTGTAATCCTGTTCCAGATGGACTTTGGTCACTAGCCCCTTCGTCCTGTCTTTATTCCTCGTCATTTACTTTTACGTTTCTCCAAACAGAAGAACCAACCACTCCATCACCCTCCATCCACCCATCCATCCTCTCCTTCATTCATCCAGACCCAACAAGCCCCAGACAGAGCTGCGTCTCTGGGGTCAGGCTTGGGCGGCCCCCTGATGAATGCCTCAGTGTGGCGTACGGGCCGGGGAGCTATTGATTTGGTTTTTGGAGGGGCCCGAGAAAAGGTTATCCAGGTCTGGGGTCGGGAGCCCGGGACCCGTCCCACACGGCCACGAGTCACCAGAGCGCTCAGCCGGGAAATGGACACAATCTATAGCCATCTACCAAACCCGCACACACACACAAACCCACAGAACCACACACACAACCACACACAGAGAGAAGAACTCAGCCTAAATATGCAGGTTTGTGTGGAAAAGAAACAAACCACAACACTAACAACATAGATCAGAAAATAGCACAATATGGGCCCTTTCAAATTCCATGTGTGAAACGGAGGTGAACTTTTCATTTTTTAAGCCAACACAATTTATCCAGCCATTCTTTCTGCATTCAAATTACATTCGATACAAAGCAGTGAGCAGAGGTGGGGACTTGCACTGGAGTCAGATTTGAGTCACTATTTTTAGGACTTGAGACTTGGGATTCGAC